TATATCAACTTACGTGTTGAGAAACAAACATGTTAATTTGATCAGATATCATGTTCGGTTTGTTGCAATCTGATTTTCTATAAAATTGAATCGATATTGATGGGGAAGAAACGCTCGATTATTTTCCAATAAACGATATTATATACGTTTTATTTTAATCAGTTATCTCCAAACCCGAAGTGCCAATAATCGTCTTGTTTACCGAGATTTCAGTGATATGGAACGTTCGAAGGTGATGATAGTAAAGGAAAGATAGTGTGATCATCATTTATTCATTAAAGCTTGGAAATTAGCTTGAAAACACTCTTTGAATAGATGTTGCATTTAACAGCTTTGTAATAATTACAGCAATTAAAAATGGTGGCCTCTTTACAGAAAAAAAGTGTTCGTAACGTAATACACTGCCTTGGATATTGTCTTCATAACCTGACGCTTATTATCTGATTTGCTCTCAAAATTTGAGTAAACAAATTTTTATCGCCGAATTAAAATGGAGGATAGGTAGAGTTTTATGACTGTCCTTTTAACAGCCAGGGTCATTTTAGGAGAATTACGGTGGCAGAAAATAACACTTTGAAAACATGTATGTAATGTCTCTTTTCTTTTATGATATTCACAAACACTCCTTCATTTATTGTCATACGGCCAACTTAATCCATTTGTTTAACATTATAGGATTTTGAAAGTTGTATCCTACTTACCGGCATGATAAGCATTTGGAGATCGAGAGACGCTGATGTTCTTTACAGTATACTGATTTTTGTCTATAACATAAATCTGTTATGTATTCGTGACACGGTGAAGTAATACATGGTGCCAGTAATGACTACTTGTCTAAAAAAGTCAATTGTTAAGTGAATTTGTATGTAACTGTAAATCAAGCGTTTCGGACTATTTCGCGGAAGACAACTGTTAACAGGAATACTGTCGACGTGGAACATCCCAACAAATATTAAAACGATTCTGATGAAACATCTTTCTGATCTCCGATGGAAACAGACGAACTTGGCTAGGATTTTCGTTTTTTCAAGTTTAAATTTAGTATCCGATTATTTTGAATTAATAGGGTAACAGTTAACTCATGTTTGTATTGGAAATAAACAATTAAAACTACACCCCTCCTTGGTATTAGGAACCACACGATGAATCGTGTCCGTCAGAATAGTATCGAGACCCACACAATGAACCGTTTCCGTCAGCCTTGTATTGGACCCACACAAAGAACCGTTTCTGTCAGCCTTGTATTGGACCCACACAAAGAACCGTTTCTGTCACCCTTGTATTGGACCCACACAAAGAACCGTTTCTGTCAGCCTTGTATTGGACCCACACAAAGAACCGTTTCTGTCAGCCTTGTATTGGACCCACACAAAGAACCGTTTCTGTCAGCCTTGTATTGGACCCACACAAAGAACCGTTTCTGTCAGCCTTGTATTGGACCCACACAAAGAATCGTTTCTGTCAGCCTTGTATTGGACCACACAAAGAACCGTTTCTGTCAGCATTGTTTCTGTCAGCATTGTATTGGACCCACACAAAGAATCGTTTCTGTCAGCCTTGTATTGGACCACACAAAGAACCGTTTCTGTCAGCATTGTATTGGACCCACACGAGGAACTGTTTCTGTCAGCATTGTATTGGACCCACACAAAGAACCGTTTCTGTCAGCCTTGTATTGGACCCACACGAAGAACCGTTTCTGTCACCATTGTATTGGACCCACACAAAGAACCGTTTCGGTCACCATTGTATTGGACCCACACAAAGAACCGTTTCTGTCAGCATTGTATTGGACCCACACAAAGAACCGTTTCGGTCACCATTGTATTGGACCAACACAAAGAACCGTTTCCGTCAGCCTTGTATTGGACCCACACGAGGAACTGTTTCCGTCAACCTTGTATTGGACCCACACAAAGAACCGTTTCCGTCAACCTTGTATTGGACCCACACAAAGAACCGTTTCTGTCAGCCTTGTATTGGACCCACACAAAGAACCGTTTCTGTCAGCCTTGTATTGGACCCACACAAAGAACCGTTTCTGTCAGCCTTGTATTGGACCCACACAAAGAATCGTTTCTGTCAGCCTTGTATTGGACCCACACAAAGAACCGTTTCTGTCAGCATTGTATTGGACCCACACAAAGAATCGTTTCTGTCAGCCTTGTATTGGACCACACAAAGAACCGTTTCTGTCAGCATTGTATTGGACCCACACGTTTCTGTCAAGAACCGTTTCTGTCAGCCTTGTATTGGACCCACACAAAGAACCGTTTCTGTCAGCCTTGTATTGGACCCACACAAAGAATCGTTTCTGTCAGCATTGTATTGGACCCACACGAGGAACTGTTTCTGTCAGCATTGTATTGGACCCACACAAAGAACCGTTTCTGTCAGCCTTGTATTGGACCCACACGAAGAACCGTTTCTGTCACCATTGTATTGGACCCACACAAAGAACCGTTTCTATCAGCCTTGTATTGGACCCACACAAAGTCAGCCTTGTACCTTGTATTGTATTGACCCACACAAAGAACCGTTTCTGTCAGCCTCACCATTTCTGTATTGTATGGACCCACACGAAGAACCGTTTCTGTCACCATTGTATTGGACCCACACAAAGAATCGTTTCTGTCAGCCTTGTATTGGACCACACAAAGAACCGTTTCTGTCAGCATTGTATTGGACCCACACAAAGAACCGTTTCTGTCATTGTATTGACCACACACAAAGAACCGTTTCTGTCAGCCTTGTATTGGACCCACACAAAGAACCGTTTCCGTCAACCTTGTATTGGACCCACACAAAGAACCGTTTCCGTCAGCCTTGTATTGGACCCACACAAAGAACCGTTTCCGTCAGCCTTGTATTGGACCCACACGAGGAACTGTTTCCGTCAGCCTTGTATTGGACCCACACGAGGAACTGTTTCCGTCAACCTTGTATTGAACCCTTACGATGAACCGTTTCTATCAACCTGTAGCTCTGGGAAACTGTTCATTGTGTTGGACCCAATTTCGGGCAAAGAGATTTAACTGTAGACTGCTGAGACATGAAAAAGACTAATTACACTTACTTATCATAGCGCAGTCTTGTCCAATATCAACGATTGTTACAACAGAATGTTACATGAATAGATAAATAAATAAATAAATACCAATAAAATAGATTTATCACGTAACTATCTTGTTTTCAGTGTAATACCACCTGGGATGGATTTAATGTTCCCCTACTTTTCACGGTACGATACTTCGTCATTGCCTTATGTGCAGTGTGGTATGATCCAAGAAAGTGATATGACGTAAGCAAGCCGCCGGTTTAGATTGATATCAGTACGATAGAACGCTGATTTTGCAAAAGCATGAAAAAAGAATTTGTATATCTGAAAAGCAGTTTTCATATCATTTTTCATTCATGAAACTCGTTACAAATATTGTGATTCGAATTTAGAACAAATGAATAGAGTTTTTGCTTGACATTTAAAATATGTAGAATTAATGACAAATATGGCATTTATCAAAGATAATCTATAGAATTCAAATCCATTTCCCTGTGAATTGACCCACAGACTGAGGCAGTAGGTTTTCACTTATGTTTTTATGATTTGTGTCTTACAGGTTTTTGGCTGGTTAGTGACTAACACATGTCCCTGCAATTATAGACGTCAGGACGGGAATCATAAGATTGTTTCCCTCCCGTTGGAATGCATTCTCGTGCTTGATACTTTCCCATTTTAATTCACCGAAACGCTTTTTCTTTTCCTTTTTTGTTTTTGTTTTTTTGTTTTGTTTTGTTTTTGTTATTGTTTTTGTTTTTTTTGACAATGTTTTACATATTTGAATTTATATTTATATGTTTTTTCCTCTCACTGGTTTTGCTCGGAAAACGCCATCCTGTCTATATACCGTGATACAATTTCATACAGGCATACATAGATACATGTGGTATGTATACAAGTATGATACTAGTATAGAATCAGTATTGTAAAGGATTCGTCCTAATATCAAATGTAGGAGTAGTATTTATATCTCAGTTTACTGTGTTACTGAGCCAAAACTAATTCTTTTTCGATCCGAAATCTTGAAAAAATCAGGATGGCATCGTAGAATAGCTAGTTATAGTGTACAAGCTAACACTGGAAAAATAGCTAATATATCATAGACACGCAATGCTTGGTCGGGATTGTGATATGATCTGGCAACTTGTATACTGCCAACTCAAGGCGGAAACAGGAGGTTCTAGGGAAATGGGATTTTAAACACAATAAGAGAGGTATATATCACCACAAATCGAGCTGCACCACCTCATTACATCGTTTAGATTGATAACCATACATGACCACACAAAGATGTGGTAGTATTAGGAAAAATCACAACGATATCGTTACCAAACCAGTGAAAATAATGTCTACACGCATTACAAAATGATTTAGTCAGAAAACCAACTTTTTCATATGATTTATACAGATACATCAAAAAACCAAAACACATCAATAAAAGGCCGCGATTTGCTATTTCGTACATTATGTAGAAAAAAATTAATATGCTGTGTTAATATGTTTATAAATAAATGTGTATGATTAAACCACGCTTTTATCAGACATATCCCTGAAGCGTTTTTCAGAATTTTATTATGATGTAATTGCTGCACTTTCTGGATTCAACACATAACAATCTATATATCAATATCATAAATGTTGTGATGATTGTTTACACTTAAATAATTAGACTGGTGTCATGTTTATAACGAACCATTGACTGTCTATCAGACACGGTAAACAACATTGTGATATTTATCACTCTATCACTGTCAGCCTATAGACAGTCTGATCAGTAACGTGATTGTTAACTGCTGCCAATGGAGATGACCTACCTAACATATTAAACAACTATCACTTTTAAAAGGTTTTGACACCTGCAATATAATTTTCCGTGTCAGTATTGTTATCTGGCTATATGAGGCTACGTATGAAACAAACCCAGCAATTAAAGAGTACTTACTTTGAAAATAACGGATTGCAATACAGACGAACTCGCCGAAGATGAACTGTCTCATTAATTGCGGTACCAGTGTAAAAGGCATACAAAAGATGGCCAAAAGCAGGTCACTGATGGATAGGTTCAACAGGAACACATTCGTGACAGTCCTCATCCGTCTGTTCTGGGCTAGTGTGATAATGACCAGCAAGTTACCAGTCAGAGACAGAACAAAGATAAGACAGTACAGAGGGATACGTATCTCGCCATTTTTGTCAAATATTTCACCTGCTATCCTAGTGTAGTTCATTTTCATTGTCCCGTTTTGACCTCGACAGGTGTCGTATACACTTCCGTTGCCATCTGACACAGAGGCTATGATCAGACCATTGTTGATTGTTCCGTTTCCGGTCATTTCCTGGCAGTTTCCTTGCGGCTTATACATTTCGAACAGTTCTTAAGCTACGTTATATAAACAAAATTGCATCACAAAACATTAAACCTCTACAGAAAATTGTTTTAATGAGCAAACCACGCGACTTAAATGTTAAGAGAATAACTAAAATACTAATCCGTGATAGATGTATTAATATCAATGTCATTTATGTCACAGTATCGACTTGTCCAATTGCGTCCAATAATGTGTTTTTAATCCATGAAATTCACTACACAGAACGACAATACTGGACTTGTAATAATTACATCGAGAACATATTCTAGTGGAGCTCTTAACACGTTCCACTCAGAACAATACACTACATTTTTACGTACGGAAATAGGCAAATTAGCCGATATTCCATGTTGTTTAATTGGTGACCTTTTTGGTAAAGTAGGCTACTGTCTGAAGTTTTCTTTAAAACCTAAACAATTTAGGCAGGAAAAGCGATTAAAAAGCTCTGAAGTCTCATAAGGTTAATCCTCGCAGTTTACTTTCGGTTTGTCTAAGTCCACCAGTTCATTAGTGTATAGCGTTGGCCTTTGCAATCCCAAGCCTTTATATAGAGCCTGTGGACTCAGCACCATCGTGATTGATAATGGTAGGTTGATAAATGTGATCTAGGTCTAGCGAGTATCTATGAAAGCAAGCAGTTTCCTTCGTGGCAGCCCGCTAGCTTAAGGGTTGGAGCGGCGTGTGCCGCGCAATATCATCACAGAGCAATTATACAAACGCAAGGCGCACAGATTGGGCAGGCACGGGACGGAACAGAGTCGACCCCTGACCTTGACGGATAACCAATCGTGGTTTTGTATTCTAAGAAATTAACTTATAATTCTCAAATTTGTTTCCAATGGGATTTGCATATTTTATTGACAAACGCGAAACGCCATTGTGTAAATCATAACACTGAAGTGAAAATATTGTTAAAAAAACACCAATAGCTTTTCGAGGGTACATTTTTGTCCAAAGCCATCTTTATTTACCATGTATAAACGTGTAACATCATTAAACACGTTCATCTTTTCACCAGAAACACATTGAAAACGTGATATAATAAACCTCTCTATTCTACCCGAATACTTGCCCACCAATTGAGTGGTTGTCATAAAAAATAATCACAAATTGAAAAGGAGTGAATTCATTTTCATTTCGCCAGGAAACACACCAAATAACGCTTTCCATTTAAGAGGGGTTAAGAGGGGTTATAAGTATTTTAGATACCATTGAGACTGCCAAAGGAAAGAGTGTCAGAAGGAAACATGATTTGTAAACAGGAAACTTAGATATAAGTATGATAGTTAAATAGTAAAGTGTCTATCGAAACTGTAAGGTAAAAACTGTATATCAAAATAGAGAATAGATTTAAAAGGGTTAACCATGGGTCGATTAGCAATTAGTTATAATGAATACTCTGTACACAAACAGATGGGTATCACTGCATCTGTGATAACATAACGGGATACTAAACGATGATGATTATAATTAATATTAGACATCAATATTGATAATAAGTATGTAAAATAAAGTTAATTAAGCAGGCAGTTCACAATCGATAAATAATTATCATTCTTCCAATCGGAAGAAATGGTTATGGTAAACGAGCAAATAATGTCTTTTGTCAAAAGTGAAGAAAATTCATTATTAGCGGATACTGTAAACATTTACACCAGTAATGAACATACTGGTAACCCCACGCGAGAAATACATTTTTCAAATATCATGTTTCTCATCAATAATTATACCATATTAATTAATCGAAGGCCTCATTTATCACCTTTGATTGCTGTTCACCTGATCGACCTCTGCTAATGTAGCTATACAGTAAATACATATTTAGCATATAGCAATGCATTGTTACTATGCCTCTCTAAATACTAACCAGGATCGTTGTTAACCTTTAATAGTATATATTTAGTAATTTATAGATAATATCTACTATAATTCAAAGATAAGTTTATAAATATACTACGGTTTAGATAGTCTATTTAAAAATCAATAGAATTTAATTAATTCACAGGTTCGGTGTGCTTTATGTTGAAAACAGTTACAGCTATAAAGGTATAAAGGTAATAATTATATTGAAGATTGTCACAAACATAGACAACAGAGCGTAGCAGCGAAAGAATGAAATGGCAGTGATATAAAGAGTTTCTCTCAGGAGGACAGCGGGAAATATAAGCAATGGCGACAATCTACATATCTATGTATATTTAGATAACATGTGGAGCAGATGTCAGTACCAAAAACAAAAGATCTCAGTTGAAAGGAAAATCGCTGATTAATTGACGCCTTACCACAATTTTCTTTACACCTATTCAAAACTCATTCCTTTTAAATATGTCCCAGTATGATACATTGTGACGTGAGGAAGAGCAAAACTGAAATAGGATTTATTATTAAGGATTGTTTTTAATTAAGGCTGTAGTGCTCTTAAATTTGGTAAACTCACAATTTATTTCCACCAACTGTGGGTACGAGACAAAACATTAATAAAACACCATCCATTAAAACCATTCAAAGTGGTTAGTAATATTAATCGGCAGGAAAGATGGTTTCACAGTAAACTTATACGAGATTTGTTGATTAGCTTCTACACTATCACAATTTGTATCGTTTTCCTATTTGTAATGTATTGAAAAATTTTGTTACAATCAAATATTTTTCGATACCTTACAACAGAGACAAGATGATAACTTTCGCATAAAATTTCACGTGAAATATATTATTTCAGCAATGTGAAAGGAATATTTATTGTCTATTAACAGTACATACATTTTTCAAGTGTGAATAAATTATATTACATGCACGTTTACATATCTTTTGATGTACAAATAGGCTGATGATTATCATATTTATTTATTTATTTATTTATTTATTTATTTATTTATTTTCAATTATATTTTCCTGTATTTCTATGTATTCGTAAACATGTTTATTATGATTATGACTTAAAGTCCAGGGTATTTGATTTTATGAATCACATCGTTTTTAATCAGGTAAATATATAGGACAATGGTGCCAGTTATCGAATGTATGAATGTTTTAACAATATCATAATATCGTACAAAAAACGTGCAAGTGAATAGCACTATCTAACACATATTTAGATAAGATACACTACTGGCTAACAATGACTGAAACTGCATCAAACGGGTTTTTCGTCCTTCTAGTACTCTTTATTATACTAAGGACACTTAAATCACCTATATGAGTCTTTTGACCACTTCACAGCGTCCATACTACGATAATAAATACTGTTCTCTGTTTCAAATTCACATACAGAATTAGAAAAAGAGACAAGAACACATTTTGAAGACTACAACGATACAACCAATAGGAACTGGTCGCGTATATTTTTTTAAAAACTTATAGAAGTGAAAAAAAAATTGATATCAAACGCGAGACGGAAATCCTGTCTGAGGTTAATGATACGTTTCAAACACGCACATCAGTAAGACGTCCCTGGTTTAGCCTAGAATATAGATAACTAAGTATGTCAGGGGAATTTCTATTTCTTTAGCAATAAAACAAATTCCAGATCACAACTAATCATCGCCATACAGTCTGGATTGTTACAATATAATTGGCTCATTACACGGGATTTCGTGACGTGTGTAACTTTATTTATATCAAACCGGAACTAGATCGATACGGTGACAGGAAAAAGAACAAAAATGTTCAGAAAAATTGAAAAAAAAATATTCAATATTTTGTACATCAATTTGGATTGATAAATAGAATGAAGTGTATCCGTTAATTTGTTTGAAAAAACTGTAGTCAAACTGTCTTGCTTATTTAGGCATAGGTAAAGCGCTCATTTTATCTTTTATATTAAACATGGACGTAACTATCAGATGCAAGTTTATGTTGCGAATGCTTGTGTACGTGGAAATATCATAATTTTCATCATAACATTTCGTTGGTTAATATGTTTTTTTAAAACACATTAATTGAGCGCTTGTGTATGTCGATAACTCTTTCATGATAAACACTAAATATGGCAAGTCTTTTTTCGCCATATCATAACCTCTCACAGCTTCATTAGTTGGCAACCTTGTTATTTGTCATCGATTTTGTTCAGTTTGCTGGCACATCAAATGTAATTCTTTATCTTCTGAAAATTTTGAATGCATTTACCAATAGTTTATTGTGTATTAAGACGCAAATAGAAATTGAGATATGATTGAGGTTATTGCTATGATGGATATTTCGTCAATAAATTACTATAAATAATCTTTCTAAAATGCTTGAAGCAAAAAGGAAAAGCGTTCACGGACACCATGAAGTCGGCTGTTTTCACAACACGTTATTTTTTTCAAGATGGCTTTGCGATTTATTCCTTCACTTGAAAATTAAATGAAGATAGTAAAGCTTATTAAAAACAGCGATACCTATACTAATTACATAATATTTTATTACGTAAGATTTGACAAACGGCTTACATGTGGATCAGTATAATCTTAATACCAAGGCCATGCGACATTTCTAAAACATTTGTTTATTGATAACCAACAAACGTTGAAAAATTCTGTCGAGGAAAATAAATAATTTATTTTATTTTTCCGCGGAATCTACAATATATCTTCGTGAGATGATATGACTACCCTGAGTAACAAATCGGAATTCAATTTTTAAAACCCTCGAGGGTTAACGCGATCGTTTACACGCCTACTCCAGGCAATTTTACTTTGAATCGGCAATACCGAACTGTCAATGTCTGTTCTACAACAGAATTCAAATTTATAATGTACCATCTGCTAATGGACCCAACCAATAAAACAATCAACAACGTTATATTATTATTGCTGTATGTGCTACAAAAATAAAGTTTCAATATATAGCCGACACTACGTATGGAGCCAGCTGGATAGCATATTCATCATCCAGCCAGAAAAGCCTGGGGTTTACAGTGATGGCTTTCTAGTCATCTCTAGGCGAGTTTGTTTTAAACAGAATATGGATATTTAAGTGCTAGTAAATGGAAATGATATTAACGAAGGTTATTT